AGCTATGATAAGAAGTTGTATGTTAGCAGTAGAATCTGCTTTGTCTCTGTCTGTTGATATAGTGTTGCAGTCTGTAAAATTTGGACTAAATTCAGGAAGACAACCCAATATGGAAACATTATTTTAGGATTACACTGTAGGAGGGTTTGTTTTTGTACGTTTTCACACTGGAATCAAGTGTGGCCTTACCTCCGTCGACAATAAACCTTTCCCAGCTCTCAAGCAGCAGAGCGTTGCTGTTTGATGTAGGTTCATATTGGGTGAGTGTCACTGTAATGTACAGACTGGATCTTCAAGTTCTGTCTTATCTCCAAAGAAAACATTGCATTTTTTATTTTTAGAACATCTTTCTGGTTAAGCAGAGGCAGGTTTGAGCAGGCACTGAGGAGGAGCAAACCACGAAACTGCCACTAACTCAGAGTACGTAACAAAAGTCACTAGACAGAATGTAGATTTTGCTTCTGCTGTTGCCAAATAATCTCCTACTTTCACTTTAAGAGCTGCACACATACTCTGGCCTTTCTCAATACAAGCAGTTAAGGACAAGCACACTAAAACTTTTTCTGCAATGACATTGAAAACTGCATGTTCGCCGGTAGGTCAAAGTAAGTCATAACTTACAAGTATTACATTCACATATCTTAAATCCATGTTTGTATGTTTGGTCACAATGTAAGCATATGAGTGAGGATAGTTCATAAAATCATAAAATAATAGAACATCTGATCTGTTCTGAACAATTGCTGTGGTATACCCTATTCTGAACTCCTGTTAGTGGTTCTAAATGTAACTTTCAAAAAGCATTGTTAATAGTGACACCAATGGCCGTTAAGTGAACTGCAGTCAGCATCCTGTTGCTCATGGTCACGCTCTGTGTCGAGCATCATCCTGGGCATTGGCCAAAAGCGACATATACACCAGACTGACTGCTGGAAGATATATGATCATATTTACAATAATGGTACTATGTGCAATGCTCCTTTATTTTTTTGGACCATTGACTGTATGCTACTAACTAGCTTGCCATTTGTAAATTATCCCATAAGCCCAACCCACGAAGCAACCAAAAAAAAGCTAGGAGTCTTATAAGATATAAATGCATTAAAATTTCTACGCTTTTCATATAATTAGATAACAATAAAAATTGCACTATTTAGGTATATATTATACTAATGAAATCACAATTTGCCATAAAAGAACTGAATCCAGTCTTTGAAAACTGTATCATGTGATCGTCTCTCCTCCACCGTCTCAGATCGAGGGCACTAAGAAGCTGCTGAAC